CCCCCAGAGCCCTCAAAAACGACCACCCGCGTCCAAAGATCTCCCCGAGCTTCATGTTGCTCCCAGCGCACTGAAGGACCACATCCCAGAAATAATCTCGAGCACCCAGGGAAGTACCGAAAGAGTGTCGAACGAGTATCGCCTCCCAGGGCCCGGCACGTGACAGTTTCGGCACTTTCTTAATGCTCGGAATTCTTTCTGGCGATCAAGGCTGAGGTGAGTTGGACCGTCATAACCCGAGCTCCGATCCTGGGGCCCTGCTTTCGAGGAGGGCCTCGTAACCGAGCGCCCCCTGGCGGTGTCCGAGCGCCTGGCCTGGCCTGGCCAGAGAGGCGGACGCACCCGGACGGTTTCCCCCGGGGCCGTAAGCGACCCGAGGAGGGGAGGGCGACGAGTAGGAGGAGGAGGAGGAGGAGGAGGCGGAGGAGGAGGAGGAGGAGGAGGGGGAGGAGGGGGAGGAGGGCAAGTTAGGTGCGCTCGCGTCAACATCTGACATCCTACCTCTGCCTCCCATCCCTTACCATGGCGCTGATTTTCTCTATCTGCGGACGCGTGTCGTAGCGGACCTGTGGCTCCGCGCGCGCGTGCGTAGTGGGTGGTGGTGCACGTGCGTGCGTGCGTGCGTGTGTGCGTGGTTGTCGTGGTGGTGGTGGTGGTGGTGGTGGTGGTGGTGGTGGTGGTGGTGGTGGTAGCGGTGGTGGTGGTGGTGGTGGTGGTGGTGGTGGTGTGGTGGTGGTGGTGGTGGTGCTGGTGGTGGTGGTGTTGGTACTGGTGCTGGTGCTGGTGCTGGGTGGTGGTGGTGGTGGTGGTGGTGGTGGTGGTGGTGGTGGTGGTGATGGTGGTGGTGGTGGTGCTGGTGGTGGTGGTGGTGCTGGTGTGGTGGTGTTGGTACTGGTGCTGGTGCTGGTGCTGGGTGGTGGTGGTTGTGGTGGTGGTGGTGGTGGTGGTGGTGGTGGTGGTGGTGGTGGTGGCGGTGCGGCGCGGTGGTGGCGGGCGGATGGGCGCGCGAGAAAAAGGCCCGCGCTGGGGCGAGAACGCCATCCTGAACGACGGAGGCCAAGCACCGATCCGAAAATGAGGCCCACGCTGCAGCGGGAGCACGATTCGGAACGATTCGGGAGCAGAAATGAGGCCGGCGCCTCAAC